ATATGTATATAAACTGAGATGAGAACAGGTCTGTGGCATTTCCTTATGCTTCATTGCGACCCATCCTTACATGAGAGGAAAACACCAAACTGAGCTCCCCCATCCACAACATTAAAGATTTATCACACTGAAAAACAGCAAAGATGGAAGGACCAAGGTTAATAAGTTCAATCATCCAGGTAGATAAGAACAAAACAGTTAAATCATGTAATCTGGACCAGTTTCTTTAAGTGAGAAACGTTTCATCCCCCCATCCAGAGGACTTTGTCAGTCTGCGGTAGAGCTTTCATTTCTAACCCGGGCTCGGTCCAACCCGAAATTCAGGCCGGATCGGGCCAAAATAATGTGCTTGATGGGCGGGGTGGGATGGTGACTATGCAGCCATGCGAGGTAAACCGGTCTGACCGAACGGTTGAAAGAGATTAATACAAAAAAGTTTGGTTAAGCTTCAGATGGACCACTGCCAGCGATCCATCTGAAGCTCAACTGGACTCAGCCGCTGCGTCAGCGGACGCACGTGGCCAATGAACCAATTTGGATCATCAGCGTCCGCTGACCATTAATAGCTATAATATTATAATAACTATAATATTATAATAACTATAATAACTTTAATTACTATCTAGCTGCTGAGACAAGGGTCTGAGTTAACACTAGAAAAAGCCATAGACATTGCACGCTGCGTGATGGAACGGAGGACCAGGTCCATTCAGTGATGAACAGCCCACCAGGAAGTGACAGAAAGCTCAGAGATAGGAGCTGCAGCAGCAGACCACCCACAGTTCATGTGTTTAAAGCAAACTGCACTGTCCTACATCTCAACTGGACTTCTGCGATTTCAGAGACGAAATTTCACACGATGTTAGCATCATCTTTAAACGTGACAAAATCATTGTGCCTTCAATCCTGAGAGGCAACTTGATGGAAAGAATCCACACTGGACACATGGGGATTGAGAGGAGTGAACAGAGAGGACATCTTCTTCTGGACAGGGAAATTGCCTCCACAGTGGAGAACTGCTCCGTATGTCAGGAGAGACATGCATCAAATCCAAAAGGACCTCTCATCTCACTCCACATCCCAGAGAAACCACGGCAGGTCGTAGCCTCAGACCTGTTCACCTGGCATGGAAAGGACTACCTCATAGTTGTGGACTATTACAGCCTTTATTTTGAGCTGGAAGGATTAACCTCCACCACTGCAGGACCAGTCATTGCACAACTCAAAACTATATTTGCCAGACACGGGATACCAGAGAGGTTTATTTCTGATAATGGGCCACAGTACAGCTCACAAGAGGTCAAAAGCTTTGTAGACACATGGGACTTTGTGCACACAACATCAAGCCCTTTGTATTCAATGGTCTTGCTGAGAGAACAGACAGAAGGGCCAAATCAGTTCTGGATAAAGCTCATGCCCAGAGGGTGGATCCCTACCTGTCTCTCTCACAGGAACACACCAGTTGATGACTTCAAATCACCAACACAGCTTCTGATGAGCCGACGTCTGCGATCAGTGCTTCCAGTCACCAGAAACCAACTAAAACCCTGCACCGTAAGTCAGACGGCGGTACAAGCTAAAAGGATGGAAAATTCAAGAACACCAGAGGTGACACTACAATCACAGCGCCGCACCACCACCAAAGCTGCAGCAAGGCGACCATATCCGTTTTCAGCAGGACACTGGAAACCAGTTGTAGTCATCAAGCTGCAGAGGCAACTCGTTCTTTCATAATCCGCACCGGTGAGGGACAGACCCTACGTCGCAACCGGCGACACTTAATGAGCACAACAGGTCCACCAGCACCTTTAACACCGACAACTGATGCTCAGCAACAGACAGAGTCACAGTTTTCATCTGACTGTGAGTCATCAACCACAAATAACAGCCCTATACTGACCACAAGATCAGGACCAGTGGTCAAGCCTAGAACAATTCTTGATTTATGATTGTGAAGGGTGTAGGCGGATCGCTGCCCTAAATATATATATTTTTAAAAACAGTTGGAAGATGATGTGAAATGATGTTTACAGTTCCTATATGTTGTTTTACTGCAGCAGAGTTTTCATGTGACAGTATATTCAAAGTGTGTACCAGTTCACTAAGGGCATGTGATGTCAAAAGAAAAAAACAAAAGGGAAATAATGTTCTATAAATCGTCATGATTATTGTCCTCATGGGTTTGCCACACATTAGCTGGATGTGACGTATGTTCAGTGTATTTGCTACGAGACGGCAGTAAAGACCCAAGCTCGTGAAGCAGTGATAACTGTCTTTATTGAGACAAAGTACAAAATATTACACAGGTCAGGCAAACGATGCACAGTGAAGTGGCTGGATGGATTAACAGAAACTTTGTCTACCAGTTTACACAAAAACAAAACTCTTCTATGAAATCAGTTTGATGTGGAACATGCCATTCTTGTAAACTGTGTTTTCATCTGAAATTTTCCAGTGAAAACAACCAGACAGTGCCACCGGCTGAGCGATGGTTTTACACCCATAAACACTTGGCACCCTCCAGTGGGCAGATGAAAACACAAACGGCACATAATTCACATGAGAAAGAAAAGCCCTTGCTTGCTGCACATTGCTTCACAGTATTATCCTGAGTAATGCTTTGGACTGGATCAGGCTACGATCCAGTGTCTCAAAAGTCTGCCAACAGAAAGAGCAGACCTAACCACAACAACACTTTCCCTGCAGATAACAAGCTGCAGAAAGGTTGTCGAACTGGCCGTGTCACTGACTGCTGCACCGCAGAGGACGGAAAGAGGAAGTGTTCATGTGGTAAAATAACACCATCATCAAACTTTATTTCAGTCAACAGCTTTGTTTTAGTCAACACTTTATATTCTCACTGCTCATGAGTCAACCAGCTCTTCCTGTGCATTCAATGCTTTTTACACGTTTGTCATGTAAAGATGGAAGGATGTGGACTCATCAGAGCAGGGGCGGGCAACATGTTTCTCAGAGAGCCACATCAAGATATTTAACGCAATCAAAGGCGTGTATAGACATTTAGAAAATAAATGATCATTTGGAAGAAGGTTTGCAGGCTTTTTCTTGTTGTAGTATAGTTAACATGCAACAATGTTCAGTCAGGTCATCTGGATGTTTTTTTTTTTTGGCTGAGATGTTTCGTCCTTCATCCAAAGGATTTCATCAGTCCGAGGAGCCACAAACAAGCCATGCCAAACAAATATTGAAGGAAGGTGCTGCTTGTGGGACTCAGTTTGTTAATGGCTCCTTGGAGGACTCTGGATTAAAATGTGTTCCTTCAGGAAGTTCTGGGCCTTAAGTTTACAAAGCATTTTACATGAAGTTTCTTCAAGGTTCTTTATTGTCATTCGCATCACGTGGTATATGAGGAGGAACGTGTGGTTAGAGGTAGGAGTTCTGTGGTTTAAAATAATTTTGAGGCTGAGCAAGGCGTCACGAGGTCATCAACGTCTTCAACACGTTGCTGAAGGCGTTGATGATTCAGCTTCTTGAGACAGGCTTTCAGATTGTGAAACAGGAAGTGTTTGAGGAAGTTCTGTTTTTGACGTTACCCGTTCTGTGCATGCAATTTAAATAACGTTTTCATTGGTGTTCAGCTTTAAGAGAGGAGAAAAATTACACAGAGACGCTGGGACATAATGGGATGTTAAAATTAGAACATGGCGTAATATACTGGATTAATTTACTTTGTAGGTTAACACACGTCAGCTTGTGTAACCAAACTAATTCAAATCTTAAGCTGCATTTAAAGAGTTGTTTTGCAAGTGGTGGCACGGTGACTCAGATGGTAGAGCTGCTGCCTCTCAGCAAGAAGGTTGCCGGTTGCTGTTGCTGGGGGCCTTTCTGGGTGGAGTTTGCATGTTCTCTCCGTGCATGTGTGGGTTTTCTCCGGGTACTCCAGTTTCCTCCCACAGACCAAAAACATGCATGTTAGGCTGATTGGTAACTCTAAATTGTCCCTAGGTGTGAGTGAGAGAGTGAATGTTTGTTTGTCTCATTTGTCTCTGTGTGTCCCTGTGATGGACTGGAGACCTGTCCAGGGTGTCCCCCACCCCTCGCACAGGGATTGCTGGACATGGGCACCAGCGACCCCGTGACCCAAAATGGAATAAATGGGTAAAGATAATGGATGGATGGATGGATGGATGGATGGATGGATGGATGGATGGATGGATGGATGGACATCAAAACTGTTAGACTTCTAGATTCCAAACTGCTCTTCGATGTTAAATAACTTGTTTTCATTCACTTCGGCTGTTTCTGTTAACGTTTTTTCTGTCATTTCGGCTGTTGTTGTGAATAATCTATTTTCAGTCACTTAGGCTGTTTCTGATAAAAACCTATTTTTAGTCATTTTGGCTGTTTCTGTAGATAAACACACCTAGTATTAGCAGCTCTTCACAAATATTGCTAACATGTTTTTGATTCAAGGAAACATTAACATTGATGTCACTAAAAATGTCATTTTGCAGTTTGAAAACATTTCTTAAACTTTGTTAATTATTTACATCAACATCCGCACCTGGACAACAAGTTGCTTTTAGAAATATTTAAATTCAGGATGAATATTTTAATACATTTCCAAAGATGAGTCAGCAGAAAGATGATGAATTTAGCTCTCGCCCTCTTTTTTTTTTTCCCTTGTCCTGTCCGGCATCGTGACACTCAGAATTATTGTCTGAGTGTCAAAGTGAGGCCCAACAGATTTACTTTCACCAGCAGAGCATCATGGCTGGCCTTAATGCTCCACTTGATATATAAATAAAACTTTATTAGAATTTGTTTTGGGTTTGTTTCAGATGTAATGGACACGGGGATGAAAAACAAAGAAGAAATCAAAGCAGGAAAGTAAGAGAAGGGTTAAAAGGTAAAGAACGATATAGGAATAGAGGAGAGAGAGAGAGAGAGAGAGAGAGAGAGAGAGAGAGAGAGAGAGAGAGAGAGAGAGAGAGAGAGAGAG